GACGCGAAATTGGCGCATTTCAAGGATATCGCGTCCACCGCTAAGAATATGGAGAACGTCTCGAGAGTCACACACGATAGCGATGCTTTCGATCATAACAACATTATTGATTGCGAATTCGTTGCTCTGTTCTTTGGAATGTAAGATTGAGACGAAATAAATGAGAGAGATATTTAAAAAATGTTTTTTTTGTACTCTCCATGCATTTATGAAGTGAGCAATAGAATATCATATAGTATTTATATTTTCAATACTACTACTTTTCGATACTACTTAATGTTTTGATACGAATAATATAATAATATAATAGTTTAAAAAAATGATCTGATATATAGTATGATATAATATGATATAAATCGTTAACACGACATTACAGTTTTTGATACGAATAATTAATAGTTTAAAAAAATGATATATGATATAATATGATATAATACGATATAAATCGTTAACGCGATATTATAATTCGATGACACATTCCTGTTATTTCGACCACCAGTCGTACAGCTTGCACACGTTCTCCATGGTGCAATTCTTCGTATGACGCTCGCAGTGAAAGGCGCGAACGTCTAGGGTATTCAAGCGCCCTATATCCTCGAAATCTACGTCGATAATCTCGACGATTATGTCGTGATCCGCGATGGTGTCACTGAGAATTTCCTCTAACCACTTCTTCTTCTCCAAGCCTTTGACGTACACTCGTCTAGGCGCGTCTCGCGATCGGTCGCACACGCCGCTTCGAATCACGGGTTTCGAAAATCTGTAGGCGACGTCGCTCCACTGCAGGCCGTGATGATTGGTTATCCAGCACACTCTAGATTTCTTCGCCTTTGTAAGAAGATTCCAGGTTATCGCTTCTCGAAACACTCGATGAGTCAGCTCCTTTCCATTTCTCAATATCGCCACCTCTTTAACCGTAAATTTCTCCCGAACGATAAAACCTTGCAGATCGACGAAGACCGGTACGTTCGACATCATCGCGAGATGGGGGAACTCGATATCTTCGCACTCCGTTCTTTTTCTTTATACGTTCGTTATTGACATCGCATATCAAGGAAAACCACGGTTTCTTATTTTACGTGAGTTTACGTACGATGTTCGTCAGCGGATTATACTCTATCGTGAATGATGAGACAATAAGCCGTTGTGTTAGCCGGAACGTTCTCCTTGCATTCGAATTCTACACGAACATCGATGGTGGCGCTCTTGATCGATTCGTTCTGGCGGGAGCAATCGATGACCACGAGCGGACCATATTGCAGAAATCTGGTGATAGATAGATGAACGGTTCGCAAGTCTCACACCCGTAATATGCCTTTCGAAATTTCAGATACATATCGTACAGCACGGCGAACTTGTTACGCTCGAAATCTAGGTTCATATTGTCATAGGGATAGCACTCGGAATTCAATTTTACATTAGTCAGCTTGCAATCGTAGAATTTAGAAACATCTTCCGACGGTACGTTTTTCTTTCCAATCTGTAGCGCGAAGATCACGTATCGCGGTTTCTCCAATTGCGTCGCCGCTTTTATCGCTCATGAATGCTTGGTACTTTGCAATAGGGGAAATTCGTACAGATCCCACGAACGAAAGCCCATGCTCAGATATCGTCCACTCTCCAACGTTCACAGAAGCGACAATTTGTTGATGTCGTTCAGTATCACGTGCGGCATTCGCCATTGTACCCTCAATAGCGTGATCTCTGATCCGGATGCGCCATGACGCAATTGTTATCGTTGCGAGTGCGTATCAAACTGAGTTCGTGCCGCGTGTTTATCACTATGCGCTTGTAATCCTCGAAATCGAAGGAATACGTTAAGAGGCACGCAAAAGTTGAAATCGTCCAACGTTGTAGGCGGGATCTCCCGTTTGGAGTTTTGTAAAGCTCACTCATAGCTCAACGATACGTAGTTTTTCATCAAGGTCGTTATCCCGATCTGTTCTTATCGATCTTCACGCCATTGAGCTCGTATCGAATCTCGTCGAACATAAATGCGACGCAGTTGTTGATTAGCTTTGCTTTCGTACCTTCCTTCACCGTACCTTTCTTCGCGCTCTCTCTCGTCGCGAACTTTTCCTCGATGTACAGAAAACTTTCGCACGGCAACGTGTACAGATCCTGCTGTATAGGTATTCGTATCTCGTCGCTGTATCCGAACGTGGTGTTAGCATAAGTGTAGGTCTCTATTCTCACGATACGATCGTCAAAGATCGGAGCACCTCCGATACTTAAAATGTCGCTCGCCATGTCGATTCTTCACGACGAAACCTAAAGATCTTAAGAACGCGACGTTCGCGGCGTTCAACTTGTTTGCCCTTCCCTCGCGCACTTTCCTCGTCGCGTCGTTCCGCGGTAGAATCCGCGGTAGAATCGGACGTAGCGTTTGCGTCTCCTCTCGCATACGACGTTCAGAATGAGCATCTTTCGCTCTCGCGCATCTCTCTACTCCCTTCGTCGTCGCACGTGAAGTCGCACCGTTATCTTCTCTTCGCGAAAGTCGATCGTTTATCCTGATCCACGATTCGAAGCGTGATATCGGTGACGTTTCGCGCGATGATCGAGAAGTAAATGATCGTTGTCGGAGCGTTTGACAGTTTATATCTCGGAGGAACGTTCGGAGAAAATTCGTGTATCGTGTGAACCGGTTCGTCGTTGCTCTACGCACCCGCGGTGATATTATATATAATATATATATATGCACTCCACCTGAATGATGTTCACGTTCATGATATTCATGGGTCCGTCGGACGTGTGCCATTTGTTCGGTCGTAACATGTGCGACGACGAGACTCTCAGGAATGAACTGATTAATAACCGATATACAATAACCGTGTTCTTGTTAGCGCGAATGATCAGAGGTCGCGTGCCCCTCTCGCCCTCTCGCTCTCGTCGTAGACGACGTCGTCGCTCTCGTCATCGTCGCTCGTCCTCTTGCTTTCGATCCTTCGTCTCTTAGAGATAGCGGCGTTCAGATATCTGTCTATCCCGTTTAACTCATACGAACCCTCGGGAATCACGATCGTTTTGTCGTCGTCGTCGTAGTAGAACTTATTATCCATGAAATCGACGTTCAGTATAGTGTTGTATATCTCGAAATTCGTGAGATCTAACTCGTAATCGTCGCTCAGATTTAAGGCGGGAAAATAGCACGCCGTGAGGACGGTACTCTTTCCGGTGAAAGGCTCAGCGACCGATCCCCGAGAAAAATCGCAGGCACAACTGACCGCAGATGTTCTAATGGTACGTCTGATACGATCCGCGATTGTATATTATATTTACGTCATCGCGCCGAGATATCTCTCAAGTTCCCTCGGCAGTCGAAGATTGCCGAAACCGTCGAAGTAAACCGCGTCGTTGCCCGTCTTCGGCGACTCAATGAGTACCCGAACCCGTCGAGTCGTCGAAATTCACGATGCCGCTCTCGTTGCGTCGCGCCTTCGACGGTAACGCGTTACGCATAAACTCCTCTGAAAAAGAGTATTCGCAGACGACGTGCCGAGCGGCTCAGCTGCTCGTCGTGATGCCAGAGAGCGGTAACTCGAACAATCTTAACGTTTCCTTCTACGATTTTTTTTCGTTCTTCTCGTCACATCGCTGCCACGTTTGTAAGGCGCTAGGTGCAATCCGTGACCCTCCATCGCCCGATTGTGACATTGCTCCTCCAGTTGACGCCGAGGCCTTACCGGCGTTCACCGCCTTCGCGACGCCCGCCGCGCCACCGATCAAAGAATCAAGCGCGCCTAGTATCGAAAAATGAGCAACAAGACGCGTTTCGTCGTCGGAAGTATCCTCCTCATCTCCTTCCTCTTCTTTCTCAAACCCATGCCCACCTTTGTTTTTGCTTTCATAGCCGCCCATACGGCGGCCCCTCACCGAAGGTAGAATCTTCAGCCGTTATACGTTCGTGCGCCTTCTCGGCGAGAGCGCTTGGCGACGTGGCGATCGGCGAATTCCTTGTTTCGCAAATAGGCGATGTTGTACTCGCAGCATGCTGTGTCCAACGGGTTGATGTCTCGATCGCCGCGCATCAATCACTTCGCGAGACGGGTGCTGGATCCGCAAAATTGATACCCGGGATTATGTAGTTCGAAGGGCGTTTATCGCCGTATTGAGTAATTCCGCGCCGATGAGCATTCGCTACAGTTCTTGATGAGAGACGCTAGACCGTCTATGTGCGTTCGTTGCCACGGATGATTATAATGCTCCAGACACACGCGACAACGTTGCACTTCGGGATCCGCTCTCAGATGATCGGGTAGTCTGTTCCACAGTAGCTCCACTTATCTGTCGAAATCGCGCACGAGAACGATCTTCGGGAAACTGTTCGGCGGATAGATTGAGAATATCGCGTTTGTCCGTTAATAGGGGAAACATATCGATCACTGTGCGCGATCGAATCGTTATAGAGTATAAGTAGAGCGATTATCGGTCGCGTCTCCTCGAAGCGAGCGCACGTGCGTAAATGCGATTCGTTCGACGGTTGCCGGCTATAGAAGTCCAATTTCGACTATAGGGCTCGACGAATCTCGGGTGACGCGGTCGGGCGCGTAGACACTACTATCGAACACGATACGTTGCATCATTTGCGGCCTCTCCAATTGTGATAAAACGAACGTGTTGATAAGCATGCTCGAAAGCTCGCACGGCGTGCATTTCGAGAATGTGTACTCGAGATGTCTACTCGAAATCTCTGCAACAACCGAAGTATTGATACCTGGCGGAATTGCTCGAGTCGATAGACGAGATCGGCTATCGCGCGTTCTCGAACAATAGCGACGTTGTACCATCGAGCGAGACGCTTTTCGATTCGATATTCGACGACGTGGCCTGTGACAAGCAGAACGCGATCAGGGAATATTTCGCTATGAGTCGACACTCGAACATCGATTGTTTCTATCTCTGTCAGACGTTACGCTAAAATTCCGAAACACCTGATACGCGACAACGCGAATCTCTTGGTTCTGTTTAAGCAGGATGGCACTAATCTAAAGCACTTTACAACGAGCACGTGAACACGGATATGTCGTACGAGGATTTTTGCACCTTGTGTCGCGCGTGTTGGAAACGCAAGTACGGTTTCGTAGTCATCGATAAGGACAGCACGATAAGGAACGGTAGATACGAGGATTTAACAATTTCACCGTGGTGTAGAGCGATCAGTTGTGCGACGAAAATGAGCGTCGACATTGCAGCGAGTACGGACGTTGCTCGATGGGAAAAAACGGCGCGAGAGATCGCAAAGACTCAGGACTCTATACGTAAAAAGCACAGAGCGTTAAAGATTGGTGAGGTAGAGAAGGAGATCGCACTGGAGAAGCGACTCAAACCGATCGTTCAGCCGTTGAAACGAATCGCCGAGAACATCGCGCGAGACGAGTCGACCGAGGGATCGACTCCGAGGGATCGCATTCGTCGGCGTTAAGAGAAAACGCGAGACCGACGACGAGCCGCCATCGAGACCGACGAAGAGACATCTCTCGACGAGATCGTCCTCGATCGCGACGGCTAGTCCCGCAACTAGAAGCGAATCGGAGGAATCGATCTCGAACGCGCAATGGAAACCGTTAGGTTGCAAATATATGAGCGCGCTTCTAAGCGGGGACAGAACGACCACATTTACGGGGTGTATTTCGACGAGAGCTCGATGCTTGGCAACAAGCGATTCGACGTGGCCGCCGATGACAGCGTGATCATGGACGACGCGCGATATCCGGGCTTATATGAGTTCATCTTCAAAAGACTTCTCGACGACGTCATGTACACGGAAAACGACAAGTAAATGTTCAAGAGTATATTGTTGACTACGAACGCCCATCGGCGTAGTCACAACGCGCTTTGGATAACGCGTTTCGAGACGCGGAGACGATCTCCGAGACGAGAAGTGATGCGAACAAACTCTTGGCGAGCACCTGAGCGTTGTTATTGGAGACGAATGAAAGCACGGCCAAGTCGATCGGCGAATTGGAGTAATCTATGGCGCGCGTAGCCAGATTGTTTCTAAAATACGATACGTAGATCGCCGAGATTACGAGCAGATTATCGCGCGTGGTAGAGTCACCCGCGAAGACTTGATGTCCGTGAACAAATTCTGGAAGTCTCTGGAGAGGCAGCGCGACGTCGACGATCGAGTCTCTACGAGCGTACGTGCGTCGCAACGCGCTCTGCCTGAATCCAGATGACGTCAACAGACGCAAGATACGGCATCTGGACGCGCCGACGGAACGACCAAGGGTTACGTCGACAACGCGTTTCGCGTAAGGAGCGAGGAGTCGAAAGCTCTAATGAACGAGTTATGAAAACAGCTGGAAGATATGAACAAGCGAATTCGAAACATTTTCCATCGAGAGAATAGAACCATCATCTCTCTGGAGTACCGGTCGTGGGGATTCGAAAGAATACATGTATATATGTATATT